TTAAAGTTTGTTCTCCGGTTCTCCAACCATAACAATAATCATTTTGTTTATCACACTGTTATTACCAAATTTTTCTTTTTCTTTCTTTTTTTTTTTCTGTCCACTTCAACCAGAGGTTATGATCTTACAACTGGATTCGATTGTTCTAGAAAGAAATGCAGCTGAATTTAACCTTATATTGTAATTTTCCTCCCTTCTTGGGATGCAAAATAAATGTGTGTATAATCTCCTTGATTTATCAACCTATTAAAACAAATAGTTTATATGCATATAAAAAAATTATATTGCAGGAGGTTTTTATTCTGGAATTTCAATTTTTATGACATTAACTCGTGCCTCTTATTGACATGGAAAAACTCAGGCATGGTGCGAATTCATTTTGTGTTTTTTTTTTAATCATATCTTCTTATGATTTTAATTTTTCTTCCGGATTTTTTAACTATACAATAAAGCATGACTTCTTTATATAATTCCCATTTAATATATACATGATACGCCACATATCAATTGAACTTCTGTGTTAATATATTGGATTGTGGGTTGGAGCCACACTGCTGGTTTTATAAAAAAAAAAAAAATTAATGCAAGGTAAATATTTAGACATGATTAGTATTTTTTTACAGGAAAGATAAATTGTGTGGATGTTAATTCTATATTATTCGGTTGACTCAGTAAGCTTAAAAAGTAATTTGTCAGCTTAAAAAGTAATTTAAATAACAAGTAAAAATATAATTTAGTTAAAAAAATTAAAATTATTTAAAAAAAATATTAAAATAATAACATATTGGATAGATTCAGGTCAACTAATTTAGTTAAAAAAATTAAAATTATTTTAAAAAAATATTAAAACAATAACATATTGGATAGATTCGGGTCAGCCTTTCAAATCTGTAACCTGAATCATAAAATTATAATAACCCTATATAAAATAAATAAAAATGAGTTATAAAACTCAACTCACAATCAATCCAATATTGAATAATAAAAATGAAAACAAAAATTATTTTTTAAAAAATATATAAAAAAACCTTAGACAACTTGAATTAATTTATTTAACTCATGACTCAGATGACGAGATTATAATAATATCGTGGGAAATAAAATGAAAAAAACAACATAATTTGACCTGGATTAACATATGATTTATGATCAAGATAACTTTATATAAAACAAATCAAACAAGCTATAAAACTCAATTATCAATAAAATTATTATTAAGTGCTTAAATTTGAAAAAAATAGTGATTAATCAGTAAAACTTATAATTCAAGTTATGAGATCAAGCAAACTTCATACAAAATAAATTAAAATAAATGACAAGATCTCATTTTTAATTAACTAGATGTTAAATACTAAGATTGAAATAATAATGTCAATTAAAAATAAAACTTAAATCAACCGAATTAATTTATCAAACTCATATTATGAATTATGGGAGTGAGTTAACCACATAAAAAATAAATTATAACAAATTATATATTCTAGTTTTTAATAAATTAAATATTGTTCTTTAAAAAAAATATTTAAATGGATATTATCCTGTGAGGCGGTGATACAAGTAAAAGCTCCTAAGAACCAGTACTTTAATTTTTTTATATGTAAAAAAAAATATTTAATTAAAGAAACTTCAAAATTCACAAACTCAAATAACAGAAAAAACAAGAACATTCAAGTGGAAAAAACTGAATGAAAAGCACACGCTGATATTGTCTTCAGCCGAAAAGAAAATAAACCCAGCAGCCCAAATTCGAGACCAAGCCCAATTAGGTAGTAGAGGTCTACCCAAGCATATATCCATATCCATGGAGACGATTATAGGGGAAGATTTTTACTGGTAGTGCTATACTGCTATTTGTGAAGGCAAAGATGGGGACGACAACCTCCAACCCATCCAGTCGTAGATATTTCTGTCGTTAAATGTATATTTACTTCAATGAACATGATATATATATATATATATATCACCATACTAGAAAAATGATAGCATGAAAAGGTAGTCTAAATAAAAGGAATCAACGCTCGCGAAGTGAAGCGTGCCAAGTACAGTGAATTTACATTGATTCGATCAGAAAGAAAGCAAGACTGCTTGAGAAGTCTCTTGTTTTGTTTTTGGTTGAGTAACCCTAAGCTCAAAAAAACAACATCTAACCATCACAACCTAACAGTCAAAGGCACGTAAAGCCGACGGAAAACAAATGACTAATCAGTGAATCGTTTTCCATTTGTTGAAACGAATGATTTCTGTGTGATAATAAAAAAATACATTAATTTAAAACATTTCTGAAAAAATTAAAATCAATTATTACAGTCTTGTATGGTCACAGAGTTCATGCACTGTTAAGATGCCGGCCTAAATCAACAGGGGATCGTTTGTAGACAGAAAGATTCAATATATCCCTAGAGGACTTGATGCGACCAGATGGCCATGGGCCATGCACTTCTACAGCATAACATCACCGGCTTTCTCCCAGCTGCCATTTCCCTAAAATCTGAGGACTTGCCAGGTTTTCTTTTTTTAATAAATCGGTAAATGAGGCATGGGCTGTCAGATTGGATGTACGGGATTCTATGGATCCATTTGTCCGATTGATGTCAATCATCGTGTGGTAAATTCGTTCAAGTGTTTCGTGCAATGCAGCAAGATTAAAAAAAAAAAAAAAAAACTGGTAGCATCAGCAAGGGGTAATTCGACCCTCGCTTGATCGTCACCACCAATCTGGATTTTATTAAATAAATAAAAATGAATGTGGGACCGTCTCTCTCTACGCCGCCAAAGTGGGGGCCAGCCCTGGGTGCTCCGCACGAACCATTGGCCGTGTTAGCAATCAATATTCGCAACTGAAAACAATGGTATCAGCTTGACAACTTGCATGCCGTCAGCAGGACAGATAGTTGCGTCGGAGAAGCCAGCCACATTGCTCAACCTCAAGGCAAGACCTGGCCTCCTTTTTTTTGAAACTCGTTTTCAACGCTTAAAGACAGTTTACTTATCAACACAAAACCTATATACAGATATTAAAAAAAAAAAGTAATTTCATAAAATAAAAGCATAATTAAAATATAGAGTTAACATGGAGACGTGTTGAGATTTAAGAGGAAATTGTCATCAGGATAATTCAATATATTCTGAAAACACATGGATTAATTGAGTGAATTTAGAAAAATACAAGAATTAATCTATCACAATTAAAAGAGAGTGTAAATGAATAATTAATAAATTGCCCGCCCTAAATCAAGCAAAGTACGATGCAAGGAGAGAAGGACCACGGGAAAAAAAGAATGCTTTGTGTGGCAGTTACCTCAGTACATGATTCTTTTCTATTTATCAATTAGCACATGGTAAACAATTATTGTTATTTATCGGTATTGGGTGAAAACAATATTTATTTAAGATTTATTTTTTATGTAGTGATGTTAAAAATATATTTTTAAAAATAAAAAAATATTTTTATATGTTTTTAAACAAAAATATATTTTAAAAAAGAACTGATGATATGTATATTAATCACCAAGTTTGATTTTCTCAGTGGTTTGGCTTACAACTTGTCCCTAAATAGCTAATCTCGTGTAACAAGAAATGGACATTGCAGCTATTCTTGCATTCATGGTCCGTTGTTTTTCTTTTTTAAGCAAACTGAGAGCTCTAAACCAGCTGACCATCCAGCATGACTCCACTGTGTGTTGACATCCAGGTGATGGGTCGCACTTGCAATGATCTTTATTTGTGTGGTTTGGACTTCTTTGAACGTCAGACATGGCACGGCGCGGCACAAACGTTGTCTTAAGATTCGCTAGAAGTCATGACAAGCTATCCCGAAGCAGACAAACATTTTAGGAGAACTGTTTGGCAGGAGCCCCAAGTTGTGACATGTGTTAATGAGAAATTGGGGGATGGGATTTCCGTGCTCCCTCCTTGATCTTGACATTTCAGGACAAAGAAGCTTTGATTTGAAATGAAAGAGAAGTTTGTTTTTTTCTGGGATCAAGCAAATCCCGTCGGCTTCAGGGAGGGCAACGAGGAATTCCCAGTGAATTTTCCCAGTTAATTATAATTTCTTGATATAATTTAGGCAATATTGCTTCTTCTTCTTCTTTTTTTTAAAAGGAGAGGATAATTAATATATGTTGCGAGTTAAACTTATGGTGGAATTTAATAACAGCCACGATGCTGGAAACTAAAGGGAGAGATCATAGAGTAGTAATTCTACTGCTTAGCTTCACGTACAATCTCCCTCGGCAATTACAAAAATGATGGAATTTCCCTTAAAACAAGATAATTAGACAACGGATAAAGGTGGGAGCTAAGCTAGCTAACAATCATGGTGATGGATTCCCTCGCCCAATCACATCTAGCCACGTGGCTTCTCCTGGGGAGATACCAAACGGAACAAAACCCACATAATAGTAGCATCCCCAGGTCCATTATTACTGCCACCTGCTATAAATCTAGTGGCACTAGCATAACATGCATGCTATTTGCTCCGGCACGTTTAGTACTCTCTTTTAAAATTTAATTAAACAAGGAACCTCCGAGCATTATCCTCCAATTGGCAATCTTGTCAATTCAGTGGTCGACGGGGACAAAATAGTGATTTCCCAAACACTCCAGAAAAGATTTCAAGAATTATTAAAAAAAGAAGATGAAAGAAATCGATGCCTGTCTAACTACAAGTCAATCCCAAATCCATTTAATGAATCACAAACCAGTCCCCAGTCATTTATTCGCAACACATTGACCTTATTGTTGTACCTCCAAGGTCTGTTCATGAGATTTCAATATCTTTTTTTAAATGCAAGACTCTGTTTCTTCATGGAGTTGAATTGTATGGAGCATGGAAATTTAAAACATCTTGGATTGTATGTTATGTTTTTTACTATCCAATATTTAAGACATCACAGACGAGCTTGAGCTCCCACCCGGGTCTTGATGATGGAAGGTTAGGTGGAGGTTCGCGAAACCTAGAAGGGTGGATTCATGATTCATTACATAGATTGGGGACTAATATGTAGTTATCCATAAAAAAGGACAGAGAGACGTCCTTTCTTTTTGCTTTATCGATTTCTTCTTCTCCTCCTCGTCGCATCAGCAGCGTGGACTTTTTATTCCTCTTATTTCCAGATCCACCAAAAAGCCGAAGAAACAAGCACCAGACCAAAACTAGCAAACTGGACACCAGAATAGACACACAGAAAACAAGACCGAGATCAAATGACTGAAAATGGAAAGGATCATCAGCAGCCAAAACAGCAACAACCATCATCACCTTCCAAATCATTGTCTTCCCGCCCGACCACCATAACACTACCTCCACGTTCCTTCACCGAAACATTCTTTTCCAGTGGAGCCCCTGGTACCCTGGGCTTCAGTCCAGGCCCTATGACTCTTCTCTCAAGTTTCTTCTCCGACTCCGACGACTGTAAGTCTTTCTCTCAGCTTCTCGCCGGCGCCATAGCCTCCCCTAATTTCAAAACTCCCGATGACAAGAGCTCTGCCGGTGACTTTAGCAGTTCATCGAGCTTGTCCATCGTCCCTCCCCCGCCGATGTTCTCGATGCCGCTGGGGCTTAGTCCGGTGTCTCTTCCTGATTCACCGGGGTTCGGACTCTTTTCTCCTCAGGTAATCAAGTGCTTATAAACTGATTGCATCAGCTGTTTATGAACTCTTTTTTTGTACTTTATTTTTGCCTGAGAAAGTTTTTTGCATCAGCTGTTTATGAACTCTTTTTTTTGTACTTTATTTTTTCCCGAGAAAGTTTTTGTCTTCTTCTTCTTCTTCTTTTTTAAATTTCAATTTGATTACTGAGTTGTCTTCTTCTTCTTCTTCTTCTTTTTTGAATTTCAATTTGATTACTGTGAAAGGAATAAAAGACTTTACATTTCAAACATTGCTACTAATCATCAATGAAATGAGAGAACTCTTTATTTCTTTATTTATCATTTAGCAGAACGAATGCTAAATGTTTAGCCTCTAAATGATTTAATTACTAGCAGTTTCAATTGTTGACGCCTACTAGAATTAAAATTGCATTGTGGTAAAGCTCTGTGTCTGTGTGTTTGTGTTTTTTTTTAATTTCCCTTCCCTCTGTGATTTATATGCCTCTGCTTAAAATTGAATGCCTGTAGTTTGTTTTCTATCTATTCCGGTGTTCTTATGATTTTTGAGATGTTTGTAGGGCTTTGGAATGACACACCAGCAGGCGCTAGCACAGGTCACGGCTCATGCTGCGCAAGCCAATTCAATTATGCATGTTCAACCTGAATATTCGACACCGGCAATGTCTTCGACCTTTACGAGCACTCCTGGAGCACACCAGCAGCAGCAGATGGTACGCTCAGTAGCGGATTCTAGAGAGAAAATACAGGAACTCTCGGACTTCTCTCGGTCTGATCAGAGGTCTGAATCTTCTTCGCTGGCTGTTGATAAGCCTGCTAATGATGGATACAACTGGAGGAAATATGGGCAGAAACATGTGAAAGGAAGTGAGTATCCTAGAAGTTATTATAAATGTACACATCCTAATTGTCCTGTGAAGAAAAAAGTTGAGCGATCTCTTGATGGTCAAGTAACTGAAATTATCTACAAGGGGCAACACAATCATCAGCCACCGCAATCCAATAAGCGTGGAAAGGATACTGGAGGCTTAAATGGCAATTCAAACAGTCACGGGAATTCTGAATTGGATGGAAATGTCAGCAAAGAGAGAGATAGGAAGGATCAGGAATCCAGTCAAGCTACACCTGAACATGTATCTGGGATGAGTGACAGTGAGGAAGATGGTGATACTGAAGCTGGTGGTGAAGTTGATGAAGACGAGCCCGATCCTAAGAGAAGGTACTTCTGTGCAAGCAAATCTTAGAGTGGTCTTACTTGCCGGCTAAGATTGACAGTTTATCTTGTATATATAATGGAATCTCTCATGTCATGTGCAGAAGTACAGAGGTTAGAGTGACAGAGCCAGCTTCTTCACACAGGACTGTATCGGAGCCCAGAATCATAGTGCAGACAACCAGTGAAGTTGATCTCTTAGATGATGGCTATAGATGGCGCAAGTATGGGCAGAAAGTTGTCAAAGGCAATCCTTATCCAAGGTGGTTTTCCCTACTCCATAGGCTGTGGTTTGTATTGGACATGACAAACCTAAAAATCCTCTTCTTTGGTCATATTATTGGTTATCGTGATGGTTTATTTGCGCACTTTGGCTATTTGCTATTTTTAGATTTTCACTTTAGATGCAGTGCAGGCATAATAAGCTCATGGTTCTTGAAGAGCTTCTAACAGTGCAAGGGTTAAAATTAAACAAAAGGCAGAATAAATGTTATTCCTTGTTAAGATCACTTCATCATTGTGGTGACAGGTTTGTTAGACTTATAAAAGGGATAAGTAGTTTTTCTTGGGATTACCTTTGGAAGTTGTTAAAATGTGAAATTTGCTATATAGCTGTTTATTCATGGATAGTGATCCATGGGCTGCGGCCTTAGTAGCTTTGCTGGCCAAAGATGGCTGCTGTAAATTGGTGTAAAAAACTTGTAGGAAGGGCATGAATGTGCAATTGGTTAGACAACAATGAGCTGCATCCTATTTTGATGCCGAAATGTGCTGCTAGTAGAATTGCTGAACTCTCAAAGTCATTGTTTATTCTGGAAATGGACAACGTATCCTAATTTCTCAATGTCTGGTTTCTACCTCTAAATGTGTGCGGCACTTGCTTTTTGGATGTCTATGTAGTGTCTTCAACCCACCTTTTCCTTGTCTTCTTTTTTGTACAATCTACAGGAGCTACTATAAATGCACAACCGCAGGATGCAAAGTTCGTAAACATGTCGAGAGGGCTGCAGCAGACCCAAAAGCTGTCATAACAACCTATGAGGGCAAACATAATCACGATGTACCAGCAGCTAAAAATAGCAGCCACAACACAGTCAATAGTAATGCATCTCATCTGAAACCACAAACTCTGGAGAAGCATGCATCAAACAACAGCAACAGTCAACAGCCTGCAGCACGTCTACGGTTAAAAGAAGAGCAGATAACATAGCTTTTCTGACTTGGTATCATAGGAGGAAGATAACAACAAACGTTTACCATGAACCGGGGAATGGCTGTAACTTATCTTTTCTTGGAGGCCATTACTTTGATGAATGCCCCCCATGTAACCACCTGCCCGATATACTAAAGATGAAGCAATACCAAAAGAGACGAAAACAAGCTTTCTTATTGTATGTCAAACAGTTCACCAGACACAAACTTCCTTGAAAATATATTCTGTGCATTCTTTTGTACATAGAAATATGAAATTAATGTTTCATATAATTGTTTACCACTTTCAGCATTTGGAATTTCATGTTTGACAGTGACAACACCGCTCTTTTCGACTTTTATGTTGACGTTAAATGCCAATGAATTCCTTTTCTGCTGGTTTAGCTTGATGTTTTCACAAAGTTTGGTCCATCCCAAAACTGATCTTGAAGCTAGTTCTAATTTGCAGTAGCGTTGAATCAATGTGAAACACAAGGGAGCTGTTCTTTGTTATTCAACTTTGATAATTGGGAAGAAACACTTTCAACAACCTTAGAGCGGAAACGCGAGATCGCAAATACACGAGAGGGAAAGAAGGATCTGTGACTATAACATCTTAACTCTAGAAATTCGCAGCAGTTTTGGAGAACTTTCGGTGAAATGTAACGTGGATGTATAATGGTGTCTCAATGAAGTCAAGTTCATTTGACTGGTAAAATATTTATCTCTTAGACATCATTCGACAGGACATCATCACACGCATGGTCTTTAAGTGCTGGTTCTCATCAACTTCATCATCGTGGTGAAAAAAAAACAAATGGTGGTGGGAAAGGAATACAAAAAACTGAATTTTCATTTTCTTGTGGTTGATACAGATCAAGGAATCTGCAAAATGTGCTTATAGATTGTTTCTTTTGCCGGAATCATCCCCTTGGTGCCTATTCAAATTAATCATCCCGAGTAACAACAGTAGGTATTTGGCCATGATTTACCAAATCTATCTTGTTCAAGCGCACACAGCACAGCACTTGCTCTGGCAGTTCCTCTTGTTTTTGTGCCTGGCAAGATTATCGCAAAAAAGCACTTAAACAAACAGGAGAAAACACAGGAAGTTCACGAGAGAATAAAAAATTAACAATTCTTGCAGGAACACAAATGAGGTTTTGGCATATGACCAACAAATGACGCTCATGTTTGTCTAAAAATAGCGAGTAAAATCAGTAGATGCTAGCACGGGGAGGAGATTAACTCCATCAATGTGCTTGATCAAAATCAGGGCAAAACCCGTTCTTCTTCTCTCTTATTTTACTATATTTAAATGAAAAAATATAATTTAGTTTTACTGAAAAAACAAATTAATTTCTGATGAAACCAATTTGCTTACAATAGGATAAGTTGCAAGGTCTCTGTACCTGAATAGTCAGACCCACATTTGCTATCCCATGCTTCAAGCGATCTCTGAATGCTTCAAGTCCTTTCCTAGATATGTAACTGAACCGATGTATATCCAGGTCAATCTCAAAGTAATTAGGTCCCTGCAAGATAGAAGCTTAGGCAACTTTCCTAAAATGCTGAACACCAAAACCAATTAGGCGCCTTCTCCATGTTTTACATTTTTTTTGTAAATGAAGGGGAACCACAAGAAAAAGAAAAGGACACCTTTGTAAGAGAATTATATAAATTATATTTTATTGTTTTAATAAATAATTTAAATTATTAGATTAAAATAATTTTTTAATATAATATTAGAAAAGGAATATATTTAAAAATTATATAAATTATATATTAAAATTTTATCTAATAGTTTAAATATCGAGTTAATATAAACTTGTATAAATTTTAAAAAAATTAATTAAAAAAATATATTAAAAAATTATATAAATTATATATTAAATTTCATCTAATTAAATTTGGATAAAGTGAAGATTACACATGATCTTAAAGGCCAAAACTGCACGATCCTAATCTCCCCATTATCTCTACTAAATAAAGTACGGAAGTTTGTATCGAATGAAATTAGTATTGCTAGACTGAACATTGATAGAACAAATGTGATTCGTAGACCAAAAGTTTCTCCTTACCTTAAAGAATTCATGTTGAGGGCGTGAAAGCACTGGCTTGTCATTATAACTTTGAATAAGCTTCCTTTCTGCAGAACTCAACTGCAATTCCTCTGGATTGACTAGCCCCACCAGAATTTTCAGCCTCTCTCTAAAAGGAACTGTGCACTCTTTTGCAAAGCCTTTAACCTTTTCCATATCATCCTCAACAAGTCTCTGGGTAGGATGCAATAAGATTCATCAACTAAAATATTTCACAAGGTGGGGAAAGATTGCGTCCAAGCATTTTGCCATGGTATAAAAAAGCAATGGAACAAGGAAGACTAGATGATGTCAAGCACAGATCAGCATATGAAATTGCATGAAATATTATTTCAGGAAATACCTTGATGCTGTCTTGAAAACAAGGTGAAATCTGTTTGTCGAAATTCTCAGATAGTTTAAAATATACTACAAGGCTCATGCCTTCTCCATCAGAATCGCAACTGAACATTGAAACAGGATAAGTGGGAAGCTGCAGCATGAAAACCCATAATAAGAAAATTATGTTCCATCACTTTGAAGTGAGCCTAGTAATTCATATGAAGAAAATAGCACAACAGTCCAGTAACTTGAACCCCAAGAATCAACTCAAGGGACTTGAGATCACGACCATGTCGCTCCCAGCCAAAGTTCTTATAAAGGAATTCCCAGGGAACTCACCATCAATTCATTAAACAAGATAAAACTAGCAGATTCACTTAAAAAGTTGCTGTAAACAACAAGCACGGATCCCGTCACAATTCGTATGTGGAAATGAATAAAAACTGTCGAACAGTTCATCAGATAATATCCAGAACCTCATTCAATATACACAAACAACTCTGCGCAATCAAAATTGTGTGTGTGTGTGAGAGAGAGAGAGAGGACCTGCATATTAATGATCAGCAGCTGCGGTACTTTCTCATGCGCTTGCAAATTAGGAAGTTCAAGATGCTGAGCAATGTGATTTATCTTCCGTGGGCATACAAATAAATCTACGCCAATTGGTACATATGGACTGAAGTCTGGAGCAGGGCACTTCTGCTTATCTCTGCATGATTAGATATTAATGTTTAGACAGTTCAATTCCCTTGAAAGTATATGTGAAAAAAAAATTTATATCATTCACTAATAGTCGTAGGTACGCACAAATAACTAATATTATAAGCAACTGAACATCATGCCTGAAAAAAGTTTCGCCTCGGAGCTTAAAAACTGAAGGTGAAATCTCGGACCAGCATCCAGCAGTTGGCTTCTCTCCTTTTGAACGTGGAATCAAAAATCCTGCTCTTGGGCGATACAGTAATCTCTCAGCTGCACCAGTTCAAGCACTCATTCATTATTAATAAGAAAAATGTATCTTAATCATTAAAAACAAAACTGGAATTTACATTTCACCTATTCTATGCTAAGGTTCAATTCAAAGCTTATATAGCTGGAATAAACTCGTTAAATAGCATAACATGTGTTCATCAAACGAATCGTAGTTATATAAAGTTTCAGGGGGTTTTGCATATCATGTCTTACAGGCAATCCTAATACTTCTGGGATATAAATGTGTCTCTCTGAGATCTTATAAAGACTACAATCTGTACTTACAGAATTCTGTTGTTTCCTCTCCATCGCAAGATTTCCTCTTTAATGATAGCATAATTACTTTTGATTTCCTTCTACATTCTTGAGTTTTCTCTGCCAAGTCATGCATGCCCTCTTTGAGACCTTTCAAATTTCCACAAGGATCATCTAAAGCTTTCTTTATCTTACTAGAAACCTCATCGCCCTTTGGACCTCCTCCATCCATTTTCAGGTAACTTTCATAGAAGCCCTCATACTTGCACCCAGCGTCTACAAAGCATGATGCAGCTCCATATTGAAGCATTTGAGTGTTTTGTTTATGTCCAGTTACATTACCAACAGGAGGAAAACAATCTGAACAGCCAAAAGAACAATATCAGCACTGACTACCAATTGAAGAGTCACAAATTCAATAAATTTATGTGTATCACCTCCATGCACACTGATGAAGTCATCATCGGAATCTGAATCTATAATGCTAAGAGAGTCAAACCATACTTCCTCCTGACATATTCCTGCAGAAAATTGAAATTTATGGTCAGAAAACTGTTCAAGAAGTGTCAGCCCCAGGCTCAAAAATCAATGGATGGAAAGGACATACCATTTGCATCAATTTGACTATGGTTCCATTGTAGCTGGGTGAGATGGAATGTCTTATTAGAAACTTCAGATCTCTTGCAGGTAGTTGCAGCAACCTTCTCAAAGTCAAGATGAACAAACTCTCTAAGAGCAAAATCACTAATTCCACCATCACCAAGCCGTTGAATAGGGGCATCAGCAATACAAGTGGAACTCTTTCCACTACTTTTGGAAGATTTACGCATGTGTTTCCTAGTTGTTCTTATTCTTTCATTGTTTGTTGAGACACAGCCACCCATTATGACAGAAAGCTTTCAGCAAACCTCAGCCAGTAGATGTTTACTCATATGAGAAGAAAGAGGCACCGAGCAGGTAAACTTGTTGCAAATGATGAGCCTGTGAAATTCCAACCAAACAAAAATGAAATATCAAAAAAATAGAAAAGCAGAAGCTTTCAATGGTAACATGAACTTCAGCAACAAACAACATCTGCATCAAGACCATCTTTACCCCAACGAAAAGAAGCCAAATTCTCTATAGTAACTTACTCTATATGCCGATAAATTCATGCGAAGCATAGCAAGAAAGAAAGTAAATTCATGAAAATCTTTGGTTCTGCATTGAAATTTAAAATGAAGTTCTACGATAGACCTATTGAATTAACAATTTTCCACATCATAGTTGCTCGTAAAAAAACAGGGAAGGGATGCAGAGACCATTGCTTAAATAAGGTGTGGAGAGCTAAAGTTAGAAAGCTGTTTCATCAAGTTTATCAATTTTCATTGCATCAAAACGAATAAAATAATTTTTAGCTTTTCACATCAAGTACACACCTTTGACCTCAAAATGCTTTCCAGAGAGAAGGCAGCCTGCCTCCCAGAGTAGCTTCCAGGAAAAAAGCTGCCTTCCGGTTAAGAAAGAAAATTTAATCCTGCGATGAGATTATTGAATATTGAAGTGTCACCAAATTTACACCGCCTAACCCCACCACTGAAAAATACCTGAAGAAAAAGAGGGAATGAAAATCCATATTACTTGAAGAGCACTCACAAGTCACAACACCATCAATTTGAATCCTCCTAATTCTGAT